GATCTACACAATTAGGATACGATGTGCCAATCAAGTTTGCGAGCCTGACCACCCGATCCCGTTAGTCGCCTCTTACAACAAGCATGGGTTGCTGAAGACCAATTCTAACCCGGATCTTCACTGGTCAAACTGGACATCAGTTGGTGTCCGTAACTTGTCCATATAATACTGTCCATCGACTCTTTTACTTTACAGAAGAGGTGGGGTTCGCTCTGCCGCGGTGACGCCATCCCGCACCAAAACCACACCAGGTGTCAGGCTGACCTTGACTTGAAGTTCATGTCGACATTGCCAGACAGAACCAAACAAGGGCCAAGTAATCAGAAAACACGTGACCGGCAACGACTACTCCAGTGTCGCCAGTGTGTATACCACGGAAGACAGATGAGCAGCATTGAGACGATTTCTAATTGTCTGACCCATAACTCAAATAGCGAGATGAAAGTTGGCAGCAATTCGATCTGAAATAGCCCTGATGCGGATCAGTCGATCCTGCTCTGTTGTCGCTGATCTGGGACGCCCTGTGAAATAGTCAACAGTTGTAACGTATTCCACAGTCTTCTGATCACAAGCTGTGAAACATTGAACGTACTGCACACTGCACCTAACATCTGGTAGATTCCGGCATTCTAATATCCTGTAGGTGCTCCTCGTGTTTCAGATGGTGCAACGCCAGTTCAAACACAGTCAATGAATGAAATCAAGTCAATCAATACTGTTCGAAGGAGAATCAATAACACTGACAGAAATAATGGTTCTCGAGTTTAGTCGACCTTCGCTGAAAGTGTCAAACTAAGGACTACCCTGTGTGGCTCTGCTGTTGCGGCAGGCTATAGGTAGGTATTTGAGGTCAAAACTTACTTTGGTTCATAATCATAATCATGATGATTCCCTTCATTTTCAGAGTATATTTACACATTATGCATTCAATATGAAGCGCGCCTGCCCATACATGTTACGCTATCCATACACGCGGTGTTGTCCATTTGTCTCTATGTACCATGTAAACACATATATACAAGTGTGACATATACAGAATGTGGTCACTATACCCCACTGATCAATATACCCCCACTGTCCCTGCAATATACCCCACTGATCAATATACCCCCACTGTCCCTGCACTATACCCCACTGATCAATATACCCCCACTGTCCCTGCACTATACCCCACTGATCAATATACCCCCACTGTCCCTGCACTATACCCCACTGATCAATATACCCCCACTGTCCTTGCACTGTACCCCACTGATCAATATACCCCCACTGTATCTGCACTATACCCCACTGATCAATATACCCCCACTGTCCCTGCATCTCTAACGTCCATGTTATGAATATAAACACAGTTTGACACAGTGAATATCGAGACACGAACAGTACACCAATCTCCGGCCTGAACCCGCCAAATGGCATTACTGGGGGCTGAGACGGCACGGATTGAACCTGATACTTCTGATACCTCTGGGCTGAAGTGAAACATAATGACGATACGATAGTGTAGGACACAAGCAGGATATCGGATCAGGAACACATCCCAGCAACATGTAATCCCATCCTGATGGACAGTCTACATGGGGATCACGCCTGTAGGTACCGCCAGCAGTGCTATCACGCTCAACCCTGCTGCATTTTAAATGTAATAATCAATCATGTTAATTGTAGGAGCTGTGGACACACCAGAATAATACCGTACTAAATCACCATCTTTCCACGAACATTAAACAGTGCTGATTCCTATACCATTATTCAACACATAGTCATGTTCAATTCTGTAACACTACCCAAAACATTGTCTTGTGCCATGTCAATCTTGTAATTCAACACAAAAGATCGTTTGATGCCAAGTCCCACCCAGTAACACTTAACACAACGTTGGTTGATGCCAAGTCCCACCCAGTAACACTTAACACAACGTTGGTTGATGCCACCCACCCAGTAACATTAACACAACGTTGTTTGATGCCAAGTCCCACCCAGTAACACTTAACACAACGTTGTTTGATGCCAAGTCCCACCCAGTAACACGTAACACAACGTTGTTTGATGCCTAGTCCCACCCAGTAACACTTAACACAACGTTGGTTGATGCCAAGTCCCACCCAGTAACACTTAACACAACATTGTTTGATGCCAAGTCCCACCCAGTAACACTTAACACAACGTTGTTTGATGCCAAGTCCCACCCAGTAACACTTAACACAACGTTGTTTGATGCCAAGTCCCACCCAGTAACACTTAACACAACGTTGGTTGATGCCAAGTCCCACCCAGTAACACTTAACACAACATTGGCTGATGCCAAGTCCCACCCAGTAACACTTAACACCACATTGTTTGATGCCAAGTCCCACCCAGTTACACGTAACACAACATTGGTTGATGCCAAGTCCCACCCAGTTACACTTAACACAACATTGTTTGATGCCAAGTCCCACCCAGTAACACTTAACACCACATTGTTTGATGCCAAGTCCCACCCAGTAACACTTAACACCACGTTGTTTGATGCCAAGTCCCACCCAGTAACACTTAACACAACGTTGTTTGATGCCAAGTCCCACCCAGTAACACTTAACACAACGTTGGTTGATGCCAAGTCCCACCCAGTAACACAATATTGTTTCATGCCGTGCTCCATTCTGTAACATAGTTTGTCGTTGCTTCGTGATTTGTACTTCATACTCATGTCCTATCCTTTAACATCACACATGGCATTGTGTTCTGTGTTTTAATCCACACTGCTTCATGTAATAGCTTCTACGTCTTACATAGTTTCCCAAGATAGCACTCTAGCTTAACATCGACACATCTTGATGAGGTATTTTATTCACTTCACAAATTTCAAAAGTCTCAAAATCAGCAATTAAACAGTCAACGTCGGTAATACATTTTTGTTGATCTCCATCAATGACAGACTGTTTAACTTTCAAATTGCTGGTAGTCCCATATTTATCGTGATATATATGTTTAAGCATGCACAAATACAACAGAGGATTTAGCCGAAGCACAGACATTCAAATCATTCGAACTGTTGCCCCTAGGTGCTGTTAACTATCCCAACCTGTCTGATGTGCGTCGTGTGAAGTTATGGGAATATTGTAGGTGAGGTGAGGTGTGGTGAGGTGAAATTGGGTCTAACGTCGTGCTTGAGAATATTTCACTCATATACTAGCCCAGACTTAAGCTGGTTTTATAGTGCTAGCCCACTGAGATACCATGCCCAGACACATTATACTGACTCCATTAATGCCGAGCGCCAGGCAGGGACCAACAAGTACCATATTTTAACGTCTTTTGGTATGACGCGGTCGGGGATCGAACCCGCGACGCTCTAACCACTACACCACGGAGGTGGTCATGTGAGGATTTAACTGTGTTAGTAAATCTTAATCAAAATCTTATTTAAATATACAGCATCACACATGACCTCAACAGGTGTTTTCATGAAACGTCCCTTCCTTTTGGTTCATGTAATGCAGAATCAACTGATGTTTTGCCTCTAAGTTACTTCTTTTTTGTGTTTCTGGGGGTTTTGTCTTTGCAAAACATAGTGTCTGTGTGTCTGTGTCTGTGTGTGTGTATGTTAGTGTTAGTGTTGTTGTTATTGGATATTTATATAGCGCACTGGATATTTATATAGCCACGCACTAGTGTATGCTCAAGGTGTGTGTGTGTGTGTGTGTGTGTGTGTGTGTGTGTGTGTGTGTGTGTGTGTGTGTGTGTGTGTGTGTGTGTGCGTGCGTGTGACGGATGTTGTTGGAAAGGGGATGATTTTACTTTATGAATATTGAGCCAAATCCATTTCTTCAGACGTCCCTTTTTGTTCAACCTTTACATTGGACATCTAATGAAGCACGGCATGTTGAGTCACTGTATGGATGTGTTAAGGAAACCACACTACTGAACTGTGTGGTAGTATTGGTAGGGGCATTCATTCCAATTACACTAGCATCCCATGCTGCTTCACAAGGAAAGTACAGCCAAACACAACACCATATTGTTATCATGCAAAAGCCGTGTTGCATAATGTTTATGTACATATTGGTATGGAAAGCAGAAATTCCGGAGAGAACTGCCGCGTGAGAACTGATCGATTGTGGCAGTCTCGTGTTGTAATGATCTACACAGCCTCCGTGAGGAGAAGCCCACCAAGTCCGTAGTCCGATAGACAATGTATTGGGCGCCTACTGCTCATCACAGACAATAACACTGATTAGGGCAGCATGGGGAAAAGTGCACCGTAGGAAAACCTGGCATGCCACGGACGGTTATGGTCCATACATGGGAATGTTGTTGCATCACAGAAACGTCAATGTTATAACCTACTGTCAGCTTTATAGCCGTGTATGGTGTTTTGACTACAGCAGCAACGACACATTGTCGACAATGATCACCATCATCATCATCATCATCATATTGTCATCATTATGATTATCACATAGGTAGGCAACAACTTGCACCCATCTCTCCCATCAACATCAGTGTTGTTATGGGTTCAAGTGACTTTGGGAATGGATATGATCGTTCTATGGCGATGGTGATGATAAGGAACAGGAGGAGATGTCTGGTCGTTTCCTTATCACCACTTTTTATATATCCTCGAATTGTTCCATTATGTACTCAGATCCATAACCTGTTGCCACCTTTAGTCACAGGTAGTAACATCAAGTAACCCACAACATCGACTTATGCCTAACAAAATGTTTCTACAATCACATGCACACTTCAGTACGGGCAGGTTCGGGAGTCATCAAGATTACTTCACAAGTTAATAGTTCCACAGTGAAGACAGTACAGCCATCCGTGGTACACTTAGACATAGTACTGGTGGCATAGCTGACCTACATAAGTACGTACTCTACTACTTTGGAGACTGACCTTTCAGAGCACTCTGACCTACCTCAAGATGGACTTAAGGCCTGTGGAAAGATATACTTTAAAACAAAACAATCATAGAGGTGATGAAATGTGCAGTTGAGGAAATGAGGGCCTACCTGAAATGCATAACATCCCTTGAAGAACGATGAGGAGTCTAACGTGCAGCATGTTGCTTTAATAACTATGTGCACATTCCAAGATGAAAGTCCCACAACTGCGAACAGTCGGTCACACTCGCGAGCGTCGTGGCTTGTCTAATTGAATGTTGGCAAGCAGGAGGTCGCCGCACGGGGAAAGACGAGGATGAAGCTCGTTATCCGCCAATCGCTAGCGCAGACGACAAGAGCTCTCGTGGCGAGCGAGCTCTCACAGCAGACGTCAAAATTTGACGAATTTCATCTTCTAATCGGTTAATACAAATGCATCAATGCAAGGACTGGATGAAAGTTAACGGAATGGAACCAGGCTTCCCATTTAGGCTAAATGGAGACGAACTGGGTTTACAGCGAAGCTGGATTATATTTAGTTTTACCATCGAGAGATGATTTCCTAGCTGGCTCAGTATATGTGTGATAGTATTAAGACGAATCCGCTTGTGCGCTTACTGCGGCATTTAATACAATTTTAATGTATATATTGATTTGTTTTATCTCTTTGACGCGTAAAAGTAGTTTGGAGAAAATTGACGTTTCCGGGGTGCAGCAAGTATGTGTAGAAGTTAAAAATGTCCCCGAGTCCCTAAGAGTTGATCGTTCTTAGAGCTGGGGAGTAGGAGCGTGTCTCTTCACTATTGTTTCACTGTTCTGTTCTTACGTGACATAGACACATGTACGAGTAACATGAATGAAAGATATTCCTGCTTCTTAAATGTTATAGAAACAATACTATTAGTGGTTTTTGAGAATTGGTTTACGGATCCATTGACTCTCAAAATGAAATGTGGACGAAACGTCCAAAAAGCACAATTTTCATGTTGGAACAACTGCAATCATTCATATTCACAACAAACAATGTGAATACAATAAATCACATGAAGGAACTATGCTGTCTTTATGAACAGTGCACGCAGGGCAACATATTGATCAAGTTCTTGAAAACAATACAAATCGGATGTAATGACAAAACAATCCGCAAAATTGAAAATAATCCAAGTGATATATTGCTGGGTCCAGCGAATGTGTTCCCGAATTCCTGCCTAAAGGTTAACCGAAATCCTTAATACAATCACCAGGAGGGAAGCGTCAATGCAGGGGAATATATAGTCTTGATTATTCACCAAAACTGATTCGACCCCCTCCGTGGTGTAGTGGTTAGAGCGTTCGCCCGGAGAGCGGAAGTCCGACCAGTCCTTGTTGTACCCATAAATGCCGAGCGCCAAGCAGGGACCAACAAGTACCGTATTTTAACGTATTTTGGTATGACGCGGTCGGGGATCGAACCCGCGACCTTCCGCTCTCCGGGCGGACGCTCTAACCACTACACCACGGAGGCGGTCCGATTAATATCTGGACTCATGGATGGTCAGTGGTTGGTCTCAACAGCATTCTGTTGCAAGAACAGGGTAACAGCACGTGCTCTGTGAGGCCTGTAATTGTCTCCATATAGATGGATCTGATGGCTGGAGGATGGGTATCACAATGTGGGACAACAGCCCTCTCAAGGATCTCCTGTTGATACCGATGCCCATCAAGGTCACCACGAATGGTAATGAGATCCATCTTGCAATCAAAGGAAATGTATCCCTATACCATGATTTTCCCTCCCGCCAGACACGTGAACGACCATCCACCATATGCAATAAGAAACGACTCTTATCGGAAGAGTGAACCCTCCACCATGCTGCAATGATCCAGGTAACACGTTGATTACACCAAGCAAGACGTGCTGCTTTGTGAACTGGCTCTATTTGGTAACCAGTGTTAACCATGTCATTGAGTCCCATACACGGCGCCTAACAAGTCTCAACAATGTTCTATCCTCCCCTATTGTTGTCTTACGGGGTCTGTCAGATCTTGGAAGGTCTTTAACATCATTGGTAGCCCTGTGTTTGTCCAAGAGTCTTGAAAGGATTGCGGCCAACTGGATGTCCAATTTGTCTGACAGACAGTCCTGGGCCCCGTTTCTCAAAGCGATCGTAGCGCTACGACAGTCGTAAGTCTATGTTAAAGTATGGGAGTTACGATCATCTTAGCGCTACGATCGCTTTGAGGAACGGGGCCCTGTATTTCTCTTGCCAATAATGTGCAACCTTGTAGCCTCTGACGAGCTGTGGCAATTACGGTACTGGATATTAATTCCAAATTGAAAGGAGAAAGTGTGACATGTTATCATTAAAAACCTGATTTCAACACTGTTGGGGTATGACATTCTACGTGCATTGTGCGCCGTTGCACGTGATTTAAATATCTTCAAAAAAGATCATTCTATACAACACGATACAATATGTTAATGAATCATTCAGGAAAATGCTCTGTTTTCTTAAATCACAGAATTATAGGTGTATGGATTGTGTGTTGCTATATTAATTTCCATATATATATATTGCTGAATGTAGCAATATGTCCCACCAAATCCTTGCCTCAAAAATTGAAAATATGATTCCAAAAGGAACATTCTTTATATTCACAGAATATGTGTCGTATTTGAGACAAATTTAGTAATTCCATGTCGATGTTTAAATGTTCATTCATTGTGGCAATCACAGAAACGAACAAAGTTAACTTTCGACAACACGTTTAGTGTTGCAGCTATCACACACAACACATGGTAAGAAACGTGTTTTCCCTGACCTACGAGGCAATGGTTTCTTAACGCAGTGACAACAGATATAGACTCATCTCTGTCTTGAATGGTCATCCTTACACAGAGTTTACCGAAAACAATACTTGAAACATAGAACGTCCCCAGAGATATAAGGTAAGTGACATTTACGAAAACACATTCCATTGTTACGCTCGCCTGTTGCGCAACTACCCTGCTGTTTGGTTTCCTTGTGCATATGAATCGAAATTCTGATAAAATCTTCACTCACTAATGGCAAAATAACCTATTCCTATCCACTGATTCACCTACCTCACCTTAACGACTCGTCTGTATACCATGTCGTTATATCTATATCAATACGAAATGCGAGCTGTGCAATGGGCATGTCAATATTCGGTTTATCTCGAGTGATATTCCAGCAGCTCGTTCATGTTTTGCAGGTTCAACCGAGTATGTTCTTTCTATGATCTTCCGAAGATCGTCACGCGACTCTTAAGGTATATATTATGCGACTCCCAGATCACGTATACTCAGATTCTATCATTACATCATATTGGAACTGCATAACCATAGTCATATTATTCGCCAGAGGCATTTTGGGGCACACCCTGCCCAGGAAGCCTTTCGGAGAGACAAACATGGAGATTTAGGGGCACATTCAGGAAGTTTCACGGAGGAAAAAACATGGACATTTAGGGCACATTCAGGAAGCCTTACGGAGGGACAAACATGGACATTTAAGGCACATTCAGGAAGCCTTACGGAGGGACTAACATGGACATTTAGGGGCACACCCTGCCCAGGAAGCCTTACGGAGGGACAAACATAGAGATTAAGGGGCACATTCAGGAAGCCTTATGGAGAGACAAACATGGAGATTTAGGGGCACATTCAGGAAGTTTCACGGAGGGACAAACATAGACATTTAGGGCACATTCAGGAAGCCTTACGGAGGGACAAACATGGACATTTAAGGGCACATCCAGGAAGCCTTACGGAGGGACAAACATGGACATTAAGGGCACATTCAGGAAGCCTTACGGAGGGACAAACATGGACATTTAGGGCACATCCAGGAAGCCTTACGGAGGGACAAACATGGACATTAAGGGCACATTCAGGAAGCCTTACGGAGGGACAAACATGGACATTTAGGGCACATCCAGGAAGCCTTACGGAGGGACAAACATGGACATTAAGGGCACATTCAGGAAGCCTTACGGAGGGACAAACATGGACATTTAAGGCATATCCAGGAAGCCTTACGGAGGGACAAACATGGACATTAAGGGCACATTCAGGAAGCCTTACGGAGGGACAAACATGGACATTAAGGGCACATCCAGGAAGCCTTACGGAGGGAGGGACAAACATGGACATTTAAGGCATATCCAGGAAGCCTTACGGAGGGACAAACATGGACATTAAGGGCACATCCAGGAAGCCTTACGGAGGGACAAACATGGACATTAAGGGCACATTCAGGAAGCCTTACGGAGGGACAAACATGGACATTAAATGCACATCCAGGAAGCCTTACGGAGGGACAAACATGGACATTAAGGGGCACATTCAGGAAGCCTTGCAGAGAGACAAACGTGGACATTAAGGGGCACATTCTGCCCAGGAAGCCTTACGGAGGGACAAACATGGACATTTAGGGCACATTCAGGAAGCCTTACGGAGGGACAAACATGGACATTAAGGGCACATTCAGGAAGCCTTACGGAGGGACAAACATGGACATTAAGGGCACATCCAGGAAGCCTTACGGAGGGACATCAAGGAAGCCTTACATGGACATTTAGGGCACATCCAGGAAGCCTTACGGAGGGACAAACATGGACATTAAGGGCACATCCAGGAAGCCTTACGGAGGGACAAACATGGACATTAAGGGCACATTCAGGAAGCCTTACGGAGGGACAAACATGGACATTAAGGGCACATCCAGGAAGCCTTACGGAGGGACAAACATGGACATTTAGGGCACATTCAGGAAGCCTTACGGAGGGACAAACATGGACATTAAGGGCACATCCAGGAAGCCTTACGGAGGGACAAACATGGACATTTAGGGCACATCCAGGAAGCCTTACGGAGGGACAAACATGGACATTAAGGGCACATCCAGGAAGCCTTACGGAGGGACAAACATGGACATTAAGGGGCACATTCAGGAAGCCCTGCAGAGAGACAAACGTGGACATTAAGGGGCACATTCTGCCCAGGAAGCCTTACGGAGGGACAAACATGGACATTTAGGGGCACATTCTGCCCAGGAAGCCTTACGGAAAGACCAACGGGGAGTCATGCGTGGGTGGATCACATTTTGGGAGACAGTATCATCTGTAACACAAGACAAAGCTTACGTGTTTCAGGACTTCAAACCCTGCAACCAGTCAGGCAATAGAAGAGCTTCACTATGTTTCAGTACTTCAAACCCTGCAACCAGTCAGGCAATAGAAGAGCTTCAATATCTACATGTTTCAGAACAAACTGTAACACTAATCTGACAATAGCTGGTAGCATGTGACTTCAGATTG